AATAGCAATAATGCTTAATTTAGCTAAATACAAGTTCTCATATATTCCTACAGCTTTTATTTATGTTTTTATCTACTTACAACCTACTTTAATAGGAAGTTTAATCTCTTAAATATCCTATAGAGTAATTTCAGATGAATATTGGATTCAAGGAAATGTTGCCTATCGTTATGATACAGAAAATCATAAAAAATGGTTATTAGGCTTTTGTATTCCTTTTTAGTTATTTTTTGGAGTCATACTACCTTTTTACTTATGGTATGGAGTTAGAAAAAATTCACATTGTTTAGATCATGCTAGAGTGAGATAAGTTTGGGGATACCTTTATAATGAATATAAATTGCAAGCTTATTATTGGGAAACCATTAAAATTTTTTAAAAAGAATTAATCATAATTGTTTTAGCATATTACGAGGATTATATTCCAATTAAAGCATCTCTTGTATTTTTATTGTTATTTGGATATTTTTTTCTATCTACTGATCAAAAACCTTATTCGTCTGGTGATCTTAATTACTTAGACTCAAAATCGACTGTTGCCTGTGCAGTTTCATTCATATTAGGCAGTTCTATCTATACAGCATAATAATCAAATTTATAGGAAATCATCTGGCCATTCTATATAATTATAGGAATTTTAAATTTTTCTTTCATCACATAAATGATAGTTAAAATAATATTTGCTTATTTTGTAAAATTGAGTGATAAAATTGATTAATTTAAGAATTTTATCAAAAAGCATTTCCCTAAATTAATTAAAAAATATCCATTTTTAGCTGCATTATTAGAAAGTAGAAAGGATAAATTGGATAGGATTAGAAGTAGATTTCGTAAATTAAGAAATTATCTAATAACTTAAGCTAAAAAGAGATTAGAATTAAAAAAGGGATAATAAATCATAATTTGTGGAATGATCAGAATAGTTTGAAATACAGTTTTTCATTGATGTTTAAACTGAGCTATTTATTGTTGTAAATATAAATATTTTATATGAAAAATTGTTCCATGAAATTTCTATATTTATAAGAAATAAAATATTCTGACTACTTATATTAAGGAATTAACAACATTTCTTTAAGGAATTTGGTAGAGAAATCAATATTTGCCAAACAATTACTTAAAAAGTAAAATAAGATTAATGATTTTTAGAAAAGGAAGTCAATCATTTAATATATAATAATAAAATGAGCCATCTATTCATTAATCATAACCTATAGAAAAAAAGAGAGTATTATAGGCGAGTTTTCCTTTAATTCAACTTTAAAAAGTTCTTAAAACTAAACAAGGATGTAAAGATGGAAGTTGAGAAAAAGATGATAGAAATGTTTCAAGTGATATAAAACCATATAAGATTAGAAGATTATCTTGTTTAAAAGACAATTAACCATCATAATTTCTTAAATTCTCACTGATTATAACTTAATAAAACAGATTAAAATAAAGCTGGGATGCAATAATTTTTAAATTATTAATGTATCATAATCAAATTATTTAGATATGTTTGTTTATTTACACCATATAAGATAACATTCATAGATTATGAAGAATTTCGAATTGCTTCAAAGCGATGAGGCTTAAACTTCTTGCTTCCTTTACTTTCTTATTATTAGAATGGAATCAAAGTCAATTTGTATAAGTTTTCTTGACATATGTTAGTCTTTGTATCATTTTCTGTAAGGACTCTGCAACCTGAATGTTAATAATGAATTTTAATATATTTATTAAGGAAGTAGGTTAGACTTTTGCTGCCATTAAAAATTTTTAATGCTTAGATCCATTAGATTAATACAAAGAGTAGCTAATTATAGTAGGTTGGCCAATCCACACAATTTAAGCAATTCCTCTTGCCAAAAAAGATAAGCAGCGGAGCAGCCTTCCAAAATCGTGATAATCTTCTTTTACAATCCCAGAATCAGTCTTTCTAAATTAGTAAGCAAATACAGAGGCAGTCCTCTATCCATTTTAATTCCCTCCTATAAGATCAGATGAAGTTAGAAATTTTTTACTAAATTTTAAAATTAAGAAAATGATAATTGATACCATACTATCTTTATTTTGATACTTTAATAAAACAATTAAATCAAATTTAAACAAGTAATTATTTACATTGAAAATTGTTAACAAAAAAATCAAAATAAATCAGGTTATATATTTGTATGGTAAAAATTTTTCTGAAGACTTTAATAAGTGTAACAAAGTAAAATTACTTTAATAATTATATATTTATGGTTTGATAATTTGTTATTGTGTTGAATAAATTATTAATTTTATGGTATTTTAAGTAGAAGGACAATAATAAATAAAGAGTAGAAGTAATTTGAAAATCTGTTTGCAATATATTAAAATTTAATTGAACTCTTAGATATTCATTATGTTTTTAATACTATGCCTATGTGAATGTGCTTCCTTATTTTATTAATTGAGGTTTAAAAATTATCTTATTATTAATTAGATTCCTCAAATTGATTTATTTTAAGTGATGCATTACCTAAAATTATATACAAAATGTAAAACTTCCTTTACCTTTTTCTTAAACATATCAGTATCTTTAGGCTTTGCTAAGAATGATTTAGTTTAAGTAAAGCTACGGCTAAAATAAATATAAATCGAAAGACATATTTTACCTTTGTTATTTATCACATCATATTCTTCAGGATTAATATTTAAAGATTTATCAAAAAATTTAATAGCCTCTTCAAAATGATTTAACTCATTCAATGCTAAATCTAAGGTTTAAATAAATGAAAAACTAATTTACCTTGGTTAATGAGCACTTCAAAAAATTTAGGATTGATGCTTAAAGCTTTATCATAAACTTTTATAGCTTACTCAAAACAACTCAAACCATATAATGCATTGCCTAAAATTAAAAACAAAATGACAAACTCAAATACCTTTATTATTGAGGACATCACAATCATCAGGAATTATATTTAAAGCTTTATCGTAAAACTAAATAGCCTCCAAAAGCGAGACAATTTATATAGTTATAATCATTAAATAAGTACCAATAAGGCTAAGCCTAAAATTAAAGAAAACTCAATTACTTTTGTTATTGAGCAGATCAAAACTATTAGGATTGATGTGCAAAGCTTTATCATAGAATTCAATAGCTTCTTCCAAATGATTCAAATTAATTAATGCATTGTCTAAAATAAATAATAAAATAAAAAACTTTTTTACCTTTGCATTTGAGGAAATTATAATTAATGGAATCGATGTTTAAAGCTTAGTCAAAAAAGTAAACAGCTTCCTCAAAATGATTCATTTTATATAATGCTTAGCCTAAAATTAAAAATAATGAAAAAAATCCTTAACCTTTGTTATATAGAGCTGCAAAATCATTAGGATTTATGATTCAAATCATATATTTTAAAATCATTCAAATAATTTATCAATAATATTAAGCCTAAAATATAAAAAAATGAATAATCCACATACCTTTTCTATTCAGTGCATCACAATCTTTAGGATTGATGTTTAAAACCTAATCAAATATTTAAATGACTTCTTCAAGCCGAGACAATTTGCTTAATGCAA